GCCGCGTAGCGTGGATTTTTATCTAGTTGATTAAATAAAATCCAGTTTTCTATAAAGTGTTATCTTTGTAGAATTTAAGTGTGTTTTCTATTGAATTTGCGGATAAGGATTGTTTGTGTGAAGCAAACTCTCTAATTTTCTGTGTTTCAATCAAATTTAGTTTCTCCAAGTCAATTTTTTTTTGTATCTATAAAAAATTGTTTTTAATAACTTTTTATTATTGGCTTGTAATATAATCTGTTATAGAAAACTTTTATACCGTCCGGTGATAAGAAATTGAGTTTCGGTTGAGATGGATGAATTTGATTCTGGTGAAATTTCGCTTTCTTCTTCTTCCGGCTCCATTTCTCGATTTTGCGTCCTCATAGGCGATTGAAACATCTCTCAATTTCCCTCAGCTGGTTTCAAGGAAAACAACTCAAGGATTCAATTTGATTACGTGTCAGTGTAATGTTGCTTCTCTGCTCTGTGTAGCTGCAGCTGATAGAATAATCTCTCAAAGTTAGTATTTCGTAAGCATCTTTAGTTATGTAGTTGGAGATTTCATAAACAAAATCCTCAGTAGAATACTCAATTCCATTGGAGTTGAAACATTGAGTTTATTATTCTACTGGGATTTTGTTTATGTAATCCTCAATTTCATAATCATCTTGATCAGATGCTGCTTATAGCCAAAGAACCCTCAGAAGCATTATCCTTCAGTCTTAACAAAGGTAACTCCTTAGAATCTTTTGTTTGTGTGTGTGTGAAGCATGGTTAAATAATGTTTGTATGATATTGTTGTTCTCGATAATCACTCTTTTGGACTGATGCAGCCAATTGCTCAAGTTGTGGAAGCTTCTCTGGAAGATTACGAGCAAGGTTTGAAAGCCTGCGAGGAAGCAGCCAAAATATGGATGCAGGCGATATTGTGAGACAGATTGGAGATGCATTAAGATCGAAACTTGAATATCTTGGTCGTCTTCTTTCACTTGAAATGGGAAAGATCCTTGCTGAAGGCATCGGAGAAGTCCAGGTAGGTTTCTTTACTCTTCAAAGCTTAGTTTCTTTTTCATTGATACATTTACAGTTTACAAATATTACTCTGCAAAACTTTTCAGGAAGTAATTGACCTATGTGATTTTGCTGTGGGTTTAAGCCTTCAGAACGTGAGTTTTTGCTATATCTTATTTATTCTCCTAGATTTGTTATATCTCCTTAAAGGCGCTTGGAGTTGGAGATGCTTATTAAAAGATTTTTCTCTAAACTCATATCATTTTTTTCTTTGCAGGCCCTAACCACATGATGTTGGAGGTGAATTGCAAGTTTGTTTTGTCGGATTTTTGTGGATACATTTCTTAAGAGATGATTAACATTCGGGTTGAACATTGTAATAAAGGTATCGATATTGAAAACCTAACATTGGTGCGGTGAGCGTGGATCGAACACGCGACCTTCAGATACCTTTATTCCTTGACCAAACCAGTACACACCACGAGAGAGACTAGCACATCACTAGCTCAGCTCTCAATACACCATACGAGAGAGACTAGCACATCACTAGCTCAGCTCTCGAATCGCTCATGCGAGACACACAAGATTCAACTACAAACAACATGAATCTCTCTAAACATTCCGAGCCAGTATTTATACTGAAACAGAGTTTGTTAAAGATATTTTTAGATCCTAAAAATATCTTATTCTTCAAGTAAGCTTCTTTCTCACGTGCCTCCTCACTTGCACATGTCTTCTTTTGCTTTGGCTCCCATTCTCATTCTTCTTGATACACCAATCGTATCAGTTCTCAACATGTCAAACATGGAATCAGATACGCCAATCAAGAAATAAGGTACTGTGGCATCAAACAGTTTGGTTTCCTCAAAGAGTTCCATGCTTCTCCTTCATTGTCTGGCTCGCAATAAAGGATAGGCTCTCTACAGGAGTATGCATGCGAGCTTGGGGAGTAATTAGACCGTGCAGGTTTTGTGGCGAGCGAGACGAGTCAAGAGACCACCTCTTCTTCGCCTGCCCGTACACCTTCACCATCTGGTCAGAACTCACCAAGCTTTTACTAAGGCGAAAGCTAAATCCTGACTGGACAAGGACGCTAGCCTCACTCCGATCATCTCAGTTCAACCTCATAGACAAGACACTGCTCAGAATGCTCTTCCAAACAACTATCTATATGATTTGGAGGGAGAGGAACGGTAGGAGTCATAACCAAGGTTTCAATACATCAAGTGTATTGATTAAACTAATTGACAAAGCCATTAGGGATCGGATATCATCGCTGCGACAGCCGCCTACCTCGAAACTTTGTGATCTGCAACTTCGTTGGGAGGAGCTACGAAGGTGTTAGAGAGGTTCTGTTTTTATTTTACACTCATATTATTTTACTCTGTTTCTAGAGACTGTTTCATTCTTTAAACTATCACTATGCTTTGTATAGTATTTTTTTTTAACATATATAAATTTAACATTTAAGCAAAAAAAAAAAAAGAATTTCAATTAGTGTTACTTATAAAATGTTCCTATAGAAATGTGTTACAGTGATATATCATTTAAGCAGATAGGAAACTAATAGTGCTAATGAAAGAAAGCAATGAAAACTTGTTCTACTAAGGATGATAGCTAAAGAGATCACAGAAACAAATAAGACTGGTTTTAGCAATTTTTCGGTCGCCAGAAAAACTAAATGGCATATTGGGATTTCAAGTGAAACTTATAAGTCAAAACGTTATAAAATCTAGTATTCATTTGTAAGAAATATAGGTTCATTGGAGATGTCCTGTTCTAGTTGTTTCTTTCTGTGTAAGAAGTTTAAATCTTCTTGAGTTTGGAGAAAGTTCCCGACTCTGAGAAGTAAGTGCTTTGAATCCCACTGACTAATCCTAATGCCTGAGGATTGCACAACTCTATTCCTTGCACAAGAGTGAAAGCCAGACTTGATGTCGTCAAACCAGAGGTAGTAGAACCACCTGTGAACTGTCGCTTTTTGGCGACCTTAGCATTAAGTTTCAGCTTGCTCCCAGCCTGACCAAGCATTCCATATCCGATACCTAATCCATCACCAAGAGAGCTGTCTTCGGGTGTACCAAACGCCATCCGGTTGGCCAACTTTCTCATGTCTGTCACTTGATACCTTTCTTTCCTTTTTCTTAGACGGCGACCACCCCTTCTCTTTTTAGGCACAGAATAAGGAACATGAAGTGGCTTAGGTTGCCTTGCAGGAGGAGGTTCTTGCCACTTGTCAATATTCTTGCGGATTTCCTCCCTCAAAGCTTTCCCGTTTGTTCCAGATGGATCTCCTCTAGTAGCGTCAACTCTTGCTGCCAAAGTCGATTTTGAAGCCAAGAGTCTGCTAGCGCGCATTCGAAGTTCAGGAGGCGTGCTTTGGAAAATCTCCGTCTGCTCCAAATAACCCGCACGAGACTGTGACAGTGCAGTAGAGAATCCGACACGGTTCTTCCTGTTGTGGCCAACAACTAGAACATTACAAGCAGGCATGTTCGCAAGTGCCGATAAACCTCCAGCAGTTCCCATAAGCTTGGCTGCAACAGCACTCCCGACAATAGCAGAGAGATTTGGTGCGATAGATCCCATCTTACTTTCAACAAACTCAAGAACCTTTTTCCTTGCCGAATCAAGATCAATAGCGTGATCACAAGCGTCTAACGTCTTTCGTAGGATACTATCTGGAAGTGGTTTCCCTTTTGTGGTTAAAGCAGTAACTGAAACAGCAATAACAGTAGCTGGCTGAAGAAAGCCTTCCATATCAACAAGAGTTAAATCTGTCTCGTTGGCAATTTTTTTCACGACACGGGCGTAATCTATTGGGTCATGTACCAGCGACTCAAGCTCTGGGAAATTAAGTCTGTACTTGTCGCGGATAAAGTTGTGGAAGATCACAATCTCATTCTCGATATCAGCTGAGAGCTGATTGCAATCACCGATAAGCTTGTCTTCCAATACAGTTCCCATCTCTGCTCCTCCATCCGAATCCTTCCCGAGAGCCTGTTCCAGTTTATGCATTATATCAGCGTATCTATGAGTTTCCAGTAGCTTAGAAACTCTCGAGAGATCATAGTTTAGGGTTTCTAAGACATCCATGTCCATGTCAATATTGTCTTCCTCCGCTGTTCTAGCATCCAGTTCTGCTTCATTGTCTGATAACTCGTCAAGGTCTGCGTAGAAAGAATATTCAAGAGTTGCCATATATCTGAATTTACCACGTCCGTGATTATGCTCTCTACGGTTAGGACTGATGCTCCTGTCGATTCTCTCTTGTGAGAAGAAGACAATATTTGGTTTTATATCAAAACCTCACCCACGAAAAAAAAAAAGAAGGAAATTTCCTTTTTTCTTTCACTTAGGAAATAAAAGAAAATTTATTTTTATAACACTGAAGTGGCATATGGCATATTGTCATATTGATATGATTTTTATAATACCTTGTTTAATTCTCATTGATCATTCACAGTCATTTTCAGGTTTGTATTGATTGACCTACCCTCTATTTGTATTGTGACTATGTATCATATTCTCTGGTTGTGTGATGATGATTCTCAATAGAGCTTTTTATTGTTTGTTATTGTACAATTGTATAAATAAGCTTGGGACTAACAATGGATATTATTGTTGCACTACTCTGTTTCTCATTTGTGACTTTGGGCTTTTATTCTGATGCTCTGACACATAATGCCTCTTCAAACGAAATAGTATCATATTCTGTTCCAGTTTTTAACATGTGTCATCATGTCTATGTCGCAGATGAGTGCATATTTTGCTCCTACCTAAGACAGAAAAGTCCAATACTTGCTGTGATTGAGCTTGGAATTGCAGTCATAGTGACATGTGTTAGTGTTTAGTGGCCATTTTTTCATTCTTTGGATGACTTCTTAATGGTAAAAACTAATCATTTTTCTCTAGAACTAATAATAGCGTGTATATACTACACTACTTGCTTCCTCTGATGTGTTTTAATTTCTGCAGTGCATGAATATTCAATCCTGATGCCTTTTTCTCTCTGTAACACTATATTAACTCTAAAAATCCCTGACCATTTCAATCATTTACCTAATTACGATCGAATTACATATCTTTTCTAATCAAAACGTAACAACCAAGTAATGAATAGAATCAAACCAAACGCAAAAAGACGACTAGATATAGAACTAAAAGGAATCAAGAACAACAAATATCATGAATCAAGTCATAGGGAGAAACCATAGAGCATCCTTGGGTTTCAAGTTGGCAAGATGAGGGAAGTGTTTGATGAGGGTGTTAGTTGCAAGATTAAACACACAGATTTCCAGATCAAAAGACATGCTGAAACGGACACGGTTATGAAGTGTGAAATAGATTGTGTTTGGTTGGATACCAAGGGCATGGTTAGCAGGCACAGTAATACCCAAGTCGAGAAGCAGGCAAGATCGGGCAATTTGGTCCTCTGGATCAGCATTATGAGCCTTCTTGTAGATACAGAAGCAGAAGACCCTTTCGCTACTTTCAGAGGTTGTGGTTGTGACCAACAAAACCTCTCCGGCTGTGGTAACCGCGATGCTAAAATAACAACTATATCCAAGAGGAGAAAACATTGGGGATGTGTCACTCCCAGTGAGTTCTTCCAAACCTTGCTGCCCAGAAAAATCTATGACTCGAACGGAACGACGAGACGTTAAGATGTATAGACGGTAACCCGAAGAACAAGACCATGAACAAGGCCAGTTATCTTCCTGGGAACTCCATAGGTAACTGGAATGAGATCGTAATGAGCATTCCCTTTCTTTCGTCTCCTCGTCTACCCACAAGATGTCCCCTGATTTCATCCGCATATAATGAGTAATAAGAGCCATTAGTAGATTCAAATTCAAACTCCTTATCTCTATCTTCCATACGCTTCAGAGCAGAGTAGTTCGATAAAAGCGACTCTAATGGAGGAAGATCAATCCTATTCCCACTAAACACATCTATAATATATAATCTGGATCGAGAATCTAGCATCAACAACCATTTACCGCAGCTTGCCAGGAATCGACTCCCTGAACAGTCTCTCTTTGTCTTGTAAACCACTTTTTCGTATGGATTGCAAAGCAAGCAACCACCGTCGTCTGGAAAAAGCATTAGCCATGGTATTCCGCTTTTCCGGGTAACTGTTTGTTTCGAACCAGAATACCAGTAGGAACAAACCATCTTAGCTCGATGGAAATCCACATAGCTCAAACGTTTAAACAGAGATATGAGGATATTGAGAGTGAGGTTCGACCAATTGCTAGGGTTAGTAGTCTCCATAGTGTTGATAGGTAATAGGTTTATGTTTGGTTTGATTCTTTGCAGCAAATTTCTATGATTGTTGTGGATGCTCTTCTTCAGACAAGACTTAGTTTTGGAGAACGTAATCAAAGATCGTAGCTTATGGCAAATCAAGCCATCTCATACCCGTACATGTATCTCAAACTCTCCTCCTCCTCTGGGCTTACACATTACAATTGGACTGCGGCCTATTGGTTTCAATTTTATATTTAGTTTCAAGGTTCAATATTGTTGGGTAGCTGACTAGTGGGAGGACTGTAAAAACTATAAACATTAGAAACTCTTACTAGTGTATTTTAAAATTAATGCATCAAAATTTTATATGTATAAAAAAGTAGGTTTGGTTTCACCATAGAGAATATGCTAATGTTGTAAACAAATTCGTCAATTATTTTATTTTTAATATTTATAAACAAACATTTTGTTTATACTTAGTGGTAAAATTTAATATTTGAATTTTTGAAAAAAATGGTTTTGGCAAATTTTTAGAATATTCATGTTTTCTTCTTTTTTACTTTGGTTTGCAAGATAAGTTCCCGTCTCCGCTTCCTTTTGAGTTGAAGTTCTTATTTCTTGAAGATATGGACGATTTATGAGTTCCACTTGTCTGACGTATCTATCTTTCTCGTGTCGTGGATTTTCGGTTCGAGATCCAACATTAACATCACAACAGTTGATAGTTTGATGGAACATTTGTCCATGCTAATCCAAGAAGTCTGATGTGGACATTAGAACCACTCACCAAAAGGAGCTAACCAAACCAGCCATTTAACACACCATTCCATTCGAAACAAGCTTATAAGGATAATTTTTGTACAAGTCAAATCATGATCAAGCAAATGGCCTAGGCTTAGATATTCCCCAAGGAATATATCCTAAGAAGAATAATGGTTCGGGTGAAGTCATTAACCAACAAACCAAATTGCCAAACGGACGTGGGGGCTTATAAGGACTAGTTTACAAGCAAGGCGAGCTGCCAAATGGAGATTCTCTTCAACCAATGGATCTTGGCTTTTTTTGCATCCGTACACCATATATTCTAAGGAGAATGATCAAAGAAATTCATCCTTGGTTCGAGCTAGTTTAAGAGTTTACCATGGAGGTCCAAAACCGGGTGTAAATAAGAAAACTTGTGAACCCACCTTATCATCAGCTGAAGCCACGACTTGGAGACCTTCTAAGATTAGAGGGTTCTCTTTTAACTTAGGAAGTCGTCCATATTCACCCCAGCAAGCTGGAGTTGCAAAACAGCAAGTTAAATCTACATTTGCCTTATTTGAGAGTGTTCACACCTATATTCACACTCAATAACTATTTTCTCAAAACTGTCGTGTTTTGAAGTCTCACTAGTGTATAAGAGCAACTCCATCCATTAGATATCCCAAAAAAATATCTTAACATTAAAATATTATTATTTTAAAACATTTCAAGTATTTAATCAAATTTTAATTTTAAAATTAAAATTAAACCATTTCGATGATGACATGTGGGATGGGAGTTTCAAGTGGATTTTTTAAGGGTTCTTCTTTTAAAACTGTTTCTTTATTCTCTTTCCCACTTTTTTTTTTTAATTATTTTAATGCAAAATATCTAATTTAGATACTTGCACCGCACCACACCACACTTGATCATATGGATTCAAAAGAGACCAAACTTGTCCTTTTTTAGAGTCAAATGCAATCAAGCTACAACGGCTCTTTCTCTCTTTGATTGTGCGTGTTTTGAAGACCCTCTTTTACATCTAGAGACTTCCAAAGGTGAGCTACTTCCTCTCATAGCTCTCAAGATACGAGCTAACAAAACATTCCATATTTTGATGATTTTCTCTTAAAGCCTCAAACGGCTATTTTCTTTAAATTTTAAGATTCTTTTCTTAATTTAGGTTTTTATAACCGTTGTCTATATGCCTATAAAAGCTCAACTCCGTTTTCATGTAAAGCACATTTTATCAATTTTTTTTTGTTTTTTCTTTTCCATTCAATAAAACCCAGTTTTTTACAAAGTGTTATCTTTGAGTTTGTGTTATTGTCTTTAAAATTTAAGTGGGTGATATACTTCTTTTCTATTGAATTTGCGGATTAGGATTGTTTCTGTGAAGCAAACTCTCTAATTTGCGGATTAGGATTGTTTAGACAGTTAAATTTTGACTCGGTTTTGTCCACTCGTAGACCGTAGTGTTGTTCTACATCGTAGATCTGGTGAAATTTTGCTTTCTTCTTCTTCTTCCGGCATCTATTTCTCGATTTCGCCTCCTCATAGACTATTAAAGGAATCATCTCTCAATTTTCCTCATATTCTCTATCTCAATCGGATGCAATTTGATTCTATATCAGTGTAGTTTCGGTTGATAGAATAATCTCTTAACGTTTTTGAGTATTTCATATTTATATACAAGTTGTCACTAACATTGCTTCAAATCTTTTATTGATTTTCTTTTGGATCTCAAATGTTATTTGGATTGTTATTCTTAGAATATTTGTTTTTTCTCATTATCATCACTGCACTTTTTTTTTTTGGATTCAACAGTACATTTTTCAAGGAATTGGATAAGCATCTATAGTAATGTAGTTGGAGATTTCATAAACGAAATCCTCAGCAGAATACTCAATTTCATTGGAAAAAATGGAAAAATTGGGTTTCATATTCTGCTGGGATTTTGTTTATGTAATCCTTAATTTCATAATCATCTTCATCACATGCTGCTCATAGCTAAAGAACCCTCAGAGGCATTATCCTTTAGTCTTAAGAGAGGTAACTCCTTATAATCTTTTGTTTGTGTGTGTGGGATGAGAGTTTCTAGTGGATTGCTTAGACCATCTCCATTTCATAACTTTTGTTGGTGTCTTAACATAAATTTAATTATAAAATACTAATATTATATTATGGGTGTTTTAAAAATAAGGAAATTTTGCTCTCTAGAGCACTTTTATGAAACTCAATCTCTTAATAGAGCACATTGGGGGTAGTGAGTACTTATTTAAGTTTTTTTTACTGTAATACCCTCAAACTATGTCTGGTTACGTTTTCATCTTCTCATTTACTCTAGATATTTCATAATAAAAAATTAAAATAATTATTATGCTTCTCTTCTCTTCTCTCTCTTCTCTCTTTCTTTCATTTTTTCGGAAGCCTAAAAAATAACAAAAAGTCTTTCTGTCGGAAAACCACCGTCGTGCGATCAATTGCACTCGCGCGTTCATCATTGTCCATCAATCTAAGCTGGAAAACTTTGTTTAGATCCACAATCTGTATTTTTTTCGATGGCGCTACTTGCAAAAACGACAAGGTTACTTCGATTGATCTCGATTTCAAGCCTCTCAATGTCGGATTTAGTGCCATGGCTTCATCTCTCACCGGTTTTGAGTCTCTGTTTCTGGCTTCAAGTGCTCTGCTTCTCTTACGAGCTTGGATCTATCACCGGAAAGTGCAATGAAGCGGCGGTTTGAGAAGACGGAGATCAATCACCGGTAACGACCATGCCGGACTTGGAGGAAGATTTGGCTTTTACCGGTAACAACCACGCCAGACTCGGAGGAAGATTTGGCTTTTGTTTGATTTTCCCGATCAAGAATGTGAGAGAGAAGAATAAAGAGAATTAAAAAAATTAAGATTTTTTTGTTTCCATGTTTTGATCGATTTGGATGAGTGAATCAATTTAGTATTGACTATTTGACACATTAACCTGTAGATTTCTCCGATGTTCTACCTGGGTTATAAAAGTCAAGTCTTGTTCCTCGAGAAAAATTGAAAATTAATACTCGTATCAACATCACAAACGATGCCCTCCAAATGTTCGACATAATTACCATGAAAGACATTCTTGGTTAGATAAACCAGGCAAATCATATTTCAGCTACACAAGCAAAATCACTAATGATGGACGGTATAACAAATCTGAACGAAGGCTACATAAGTTACCAAACATGAATGAACAAATTCTCATCCCTGACAATCCACAAATAAGTGTTCATTAGGATACCATAGGTGACAATGTATCCATGTAGCATCGAACAAATGGATATACACTTTTAGGTGACAGTGTATCTACATAGTAGAGAACAAATAGATATGTACTAGAACAGGTGTTGTTTAAGGAGATATGTAAATCCAAAAAAATTCCTCTGATCCACTACTACTTTCTCATTTTCTATGAAACCAATTTTGATACTAGTCAAATGTTTGGTTGAGAATTTGTTGTTAGAACCTATCAGACAACGATGGGTACCTAAAAGAGAAGTCTAATAATTTTGATACTAGTCAATGTTTTAAAGAAAAAAGTCTAAGATTCTTTATGTGCTCAATATATATTTTTAAATAGTTGTTTATGTAAATTTTAATGTAAAATTAAAAAGACTCTAATTTGTCTGAAGTTTCGATAGGAATGAAAAAAATATTTTTTTAGAGTGAAGAAGTAAATTAGACCTATATTGAAATGACCATGTGGTCAGAGTTTGGTGGATGTGCGTATATGGTCCGTAATTCGAAATGAATGTGTTGTAAATTTTGATGTAAAATTATAAGAGACTGTCATGTGTTCAAGATTATGTGGATAGTTTATATTTTATCCCTTAAATATTTTTTGTGTCAATAACTTCCTACACTTATCTCAATCAATCGCCGCTATTATTGTTGACTATTTTATATGACATATTATGGATGCCACATAATAGATGGCGTATAATGGTTGTCGTATTATGCATTATGAATTTATGAATGATGATGTATAGAAAAAATATTATGGAAGCCTTTATTTCGTTAGGGATGAATATATGTTTTTTGAGAGTAAAGAGCTAATTACACCTAGATTAAAATGACCACGTGGTCAGAGTACGGTGGATGAGGTAAATATTAATGTTTAGGTTTTAGGATTTAGTGTTTATGGTTTAGAGTTTTATATTTAGGGTTTAGGGTTTAGGGTTTAGGGTTTAGGATTTATGGTTTACGGTTTAGGGTTTAATGTTTTGTGTATAGGGTTTAGGATTTAGGGTCTAGGGTCAAGGGTTTAGGGGTTTAGTATCTATGGTTTAGGGTTTAG